GATGCTGATCCACAACCCCTTTAAGAAGTTTCTTCTGCGTACACTTTTTTTCTATACCATTTTTGTTTTCACAATTTTACAACCCTCTAAGCACAGGGTGTTATTGATGCAAATTTTTGTTGTTCAGAATATTGTGCGTCCTGTAAACATAAACTTTCTCTGCGTATCCTCGCAACGGTGAGCTTTTTATCTTGGGGATGCAGTGTGGATACACGGGTAGGTGAGTCGTTTTTTTAACCCGTATTCCTGTGGCTAGTCCAGCTGACTACACGCGTCACTAATATGTACGACAACGGCTATGAGAATGCGTGGACAATCTTTCCTGGTGGCGTGGGCTTGTACGCCATTGAATTTATGGTGGTTTCTGGCCACCGTTTCGCTAGGGGGTAGTTTTATTTCCGATTCGGCGCTGTCGGCTGTACTTTTATTTTCCTCATTCCTTTATACATTTTTTGTCAAGGCAAACAAAAATACGGACGCTGCAAGGCAGCTGGACGTCACTGTATCTCTGGCACGAGCGGGAAGATTTGAAGCGGTACTTAGGATTGTTTTTTTTGATTTTCATAAGGGGGTCGAACAAGCCGGTTACGATAAATCTTCATGAAAAGAGTCGAGCAAACAGGACTTTGCTCTTGGGGGGTTCATCAGAAAGAGTCCATTGACACACATTCCGCAGCCCTTCATCCCTTATGATATTCACTTCCACGTTGCAAGTGGTAGCGCGTCATTAAATCATCCCCCGCGGACCACTAGTGGACCATCCCCTGTACTCTTTCGTATACGCATTCTCTCTCTCTCTCTCATCACGCCGCACGTGCGGTACTCCAGCAACGCGTCTACGCTGACCCGTTGAAACCACGGGGACGGGGGTTGCTCCCGGTTTCGCAAACATCCCTAAACAATGACCGTTCGCCCGGTGATTTTCGCTTGCTGCTTGGTCATCGAAAAAACGTGGCGAAGGTTCGAATGGTGGAGTGGGCCACCTAGGGGCTTCTCGACGTGGCACCTACGCCGGGATGTACTCCGTTACCACCATCCACCCCCATTTTGGTATACGAAAGGGGTAGGTAGGTAGATATGTGCCACGGTATGGATTACCAGGCTAAATATACGAGTCAACCGCGTGTGGCTTCCCGAGATTAGCTCGGGTTTATATCGGGATTACATATGTAAAACCATTAGGTTAAATCATTTTTTAAATAAATGTTATTCGAGATGAGAGAGCTGAGCGGGGACGCCGGAGAGAAGGGAAGGGGATTGTGAGGGGGTTAAAAGGAGAGGGGTAAGTGGGGAGGGTTGGTCCAAATGAAATATTCCCCATCACGTACGTGCATTAGAGTTTTCATCCCTTTTACGAAATTTCACAAAGATCAGCATCCCTCTTACTGGTCCATATCTATAATACATGGACTACCCCTATATGTGTTTGTATATATACATACATACTTATAGTATCTGCCAAAAGGGGGTACTGACAAGTGGTTTATGTTTCTTTCAATGTCTGTTCTTTTTATTTTCAATTTTTCTTTTTGTTATCCTCACGGGGCAAAGATGGCGCCACCTTCTGACGATAATGAAGTCATTTGTAATGCGGTTCTAACTTTTGGGCCGAAACGTAAGAGCTGGGGTCGTAGGTACTGGTATAGGTATATATTTGCCAAGTATAGCCTATACGAAATCTCCCGCAGCTGGGTGCCTCGTTTTATGTACATACAGAGAACTCCGCGGCATCTACCTACCTCAGCATCCTTTGGTCCATTGAGGATACTTAACCCTTCAAGATACTACCCTAATCTTTTAATGGGTACGAAATTAGAAGTTGCTTTAATAAAATCTGCCGTTCCAATGAGATGGGATATGAATGTCTGGTGCAGTTGCAATTTTTTACCTTTACTCGAAAATATTTTATAGAAACCTCACACTCCGATATTGAAATAGATTTTTGAATTTTTTTTTTATAATCATACCATCAACAATCTCGAATCGTATACCTATGAACACAATTGGAACACCTCTTTAATGTTTGTATTCTCTTTTTTAAATTCTACTTCATTTCATTTAACGCACGCACGCGTCCCATAAAAAAGAACCAAACGCGAATCGGTGACAATGGCCACGAGAGTTCTGATTCTATCGTTCGTTAAATGCGTCCACGCGTCCCGAATGACAGAGCCAATAAATAAAAGGAATTAAAATATACGCGAATGTTACCGGACACCGTGGGTGAGACGGGGGAGTGGGGGTGGTTTTTGCGGCCGTTTATAAAATATTGTTCGGTACCCTTACATACGGTGTCCGCAGTTTTTCCCTGTATCGGATTTTTATCATTTTTTTTCTTTATTCATTTTTTTTTATCAACCCCCTACAGCCACCCCGCATGTGGCTGATACACAAATGCTTGCGTATCAAAACCAGCAGCATCACTGAGTCTCGAAAATATATGCACAGCAGTATCCTACCCATTCCCTTCCGGACGGACAAATGAAAATCGTTCGTCTATAAATTCTTTAACCGAAATGAATTTTATTTTAACGAGCGTCAAAATTATATACACAGGTATATCTATAGTTCCTCGACGAGGTATAGGGTGTCGATACGTAAGGGATGAAAGAGAGAAACTAGAGAGGAAAAAGGAAAAAACAAGTAAAATGATGGAATTTGAGAGAAAAGGGAAGCGCCATGCATAAATGAGCACAGGGGTTGAAAATACTTTCGACTTTCTCCCTTCGTTCGGTATTATTGTGACTTGGAACGGGCGCGTCCCCCCCTCCCCCCCCGCCCCCTTGGATGGCGTTACGGTTTACGAGGCGAACTCTCACGGTGGCTGCTTTGAACGCCGGTGGTGGCTGAAACGGTAGCAATGCTAGAAGTGGCCCCAAAGAGGGACAGGAGGAAGAGGGGATAAAGGAAAGGAAAGGAAAGGCGGCGTGAGAATTATTCATAAACGTAGGCCGCCCGGGCTAAGGGGGTGGTTTTCGCACTCGGCTCTATACTCGAGTTGGGTTGGCTGAATTCTACCGAATATAACGGCTGGCTCGTCCTCGCATAATAAACACATAACAGTAATCCTTAAAACAATAATTAGCTCCCGTGGACCTCGTTCCGGCCACCCCCGAAGGACCAGCCACCCCCTTTGATTCCAGCCTGGCCGGGAGGGGTAGCAGATACTCAGGGGTATTACTTTGAGGATTTTTTCGAATTAATACCACCCCTCTTATACTCTTAGCCCCACGTGTCTTATAGAGTCTTCCGGAAGTGCAATATAGGGGCAGTAGGGTTGCATTGTGTCAGGGTGCATTTTGGTTTCGAATGGATCAGGCGGCAGGTTGACTCGAATCCCGAAGGGATTTCGCCGAGTCTTGAAACGAGTATATGCATAGGATTGTGACTGTGAATAAAAATAGGAATAAGAGGCAGGGTATTATGAGGGTGGGTGGGTGGTTTAACGAGAGGGTGGCGACGAAGGGGCGCGCAAAGTGGTAATAGTTTTAATCCGGTGTCTTGGAGTCAGGATTTGGTGGCGCGGCAGTTAGTGGCTGGTAAGTGGCGAAGCCACTTCGCGCTCTGATATCATAATCCGAATAATCGCCATTATTGCCGCCATTTGCTTAATCCGAGCTACGGTATGGCCGCAGGAAGCTACGAAGGCGCCATACTTAATGCACCGAGTCGAAAGAATTTTGAAAAAAATAAGAGTTTGGTAAATGAAAAAAATTTCGATTTACATTCATTTTTTTCTTACAATTTAGACAGCACTCGAATATATTCGCTATAGAATTTATATAAAACTGCTACGTTTTTTTTTTGTCAAAGTACTCATCGCACCATGACCTCCAAGTATTATCCGTCTCTTGCCAAAGAATTTTCTAATTGTAACGGTATCGTGGCGAGCAGGAATTCGCCATCTTAGAATTTCTCCGACAGACCAAAATCTCGTAAAGACGCGTAAACGGTGACTTTCGAAGGCAAACTGGTAGGAGGTGCAAAGAAAAAAAGAAAAAGAAAGATCTCTGCAACGTCTCTGCAGTGTTTCCGCTTAAACGGTACGGTGACTCCTGGACTGCGCGGGAGGGTGGAAAAGCGAAAAAGGGGGTAAAAGGAAAGAGACATTAAATCCCCGAGATTTGTTCTAATGGCCGCAACTTGCTTACAAACTATTCGCGTTTCCACTCCCCGGGTGTGGTTTGTGTCTACGTGCGATTGTATAAATTTGGTCGAGCGTGCTCGGCCGGTGAAGTAGAGAACGGGCCTTGGGGCCGAGCTCGTTGCTTAAATACAAAAACTCCCTGCTAAATCTCACCCTTAAACTTTGCCACTTTAACCCGAGAAATATGTTTATTTATTGCGTTGCCGTAGAGCGTAGCCAAAGTTCGTGGACATGCGGGTTTCTTATACACTCGATATATCTGTACGAGGCAACTTATTTCCCCGTTAAATATCGTATTTCGAATCTGAGGAAACAACGTCCTGATCCGACTGTAGAACTTTGGTTAGGGGATAGTAAAGGCATTTTCTTGATAATCAGTCGAGAAGTAAAGACAGCAGTTCGCGGATGACGGCACTGGCACGCCGAGCGGTTATCTCTAATAAGGCTTCTAATTACGTGACATTATAATTACCTGAAAGATTAGATCCCGGGAAGGGGGTGGTTGGGCTGCGGCGGTGGTACGAAACGTCAGAAGGGGGTAGGTAATGTGGAAGATAGTCGGTGGCATGTGTTGTTGATGAGGCGGTTAGTATTCAGCGGTGCGTTTCGCCCGGGACTTTTGAAAACTAACTAAGTAAAGCCACCTTAATTCCATAAGAGGGAGACGTAGGGGTTTTGGTATTATTATAACACCCTCTTAATTACCGGATATTAGGAGGGGTGAGAATAGCCGAGTACTTTGCCAATTGCGTTATCGCATTGGATATTGGGTCACTTTTATATATGACTATATATATACCTAACGATACTCTTATCACAGTCGACCTTGACATACATATGATATAATACTTACATGCACGTTACAACGTCCTTGCCACCCTCGAATGCGCCGTCCTTACCCCATCTACTTGGCAGTTCGACAAGCGCCAGTCCGAGATTACCCCACATTACCAATTGGGTCAGTGTCTCATTAATCAATAGATTGGTGATCTCGAACATGGGTGGGTCGGTAAGTAGAAGTGTCTGAAATATGAAAGAAAAAAAATGGTATAAAAAAAAAAAATTGAAGATAGCGATCGTGATAGACGTTGGGGGATGACAGTAATGATTTTTAATCGACACCTGGCGAACGTATGCACTTCGGCAGGATCAATTATTCATACAGATCTGCTAGACAAAGGCGAGAGACTCGCAGGATGATGGGAAACAAAAACGCCAATTAGACGATAAAATATGCAGAGGGGTTTTGAGAGCTCGTTTCGAAGTTGGGGGATGAACGTGAGCTCAGGACTTCAGGTTGAGGAACGTCCTGAAGGGATGGCGGATATGTGCGAGGGCATAGGAGGTCCTTTAGCACTGCTGTGGCAACGATGTCATAGAAGGTGCTTTGCCAAGGCAGAGAGATGGCGGATGGGCGTCAGCGTGGTAGAGAGTTTGGCTTCTTGGAAGTTCGCGAAGATCTTAGACGTAGATATGTAGATATGGCGTGCCTAGCTACCGTGACACATAAAATAACCGCTCAATTATTCACTGAGAGCGAGTCGAGTGAGCCGAGAGTGCGATGCAGCCCCTTTCACCAAAATCAGATTAGGGGTTTGTGTCTTTATACTTCTGTCTCTGAGTGAATCTTAAATCTGGGTTTTAGGCACTTAAATTGAGGTTAGAATTTAGTTGTAAAAAACATAATTGAAGCATGTATAATCTGTACGGATTATCAGATCCAAAAAATTCATTCCTCGTTCGAATCGTACAGGATGCGTATAGAGACTGGAGTTGATATTTGGGGGGAGCTTTTAAGAATCGCCGTCAGGGGGCTAAATCTTTGGCAGAACCTTTCATGTAAATTATAAATTCATTATTATTCGGTTCGGTAAGCACGTCTGAGGATTTTTCGGCTGATCGCTTGGATTCGCGAATCTGAAACGAGATTTCGTATAGCTTCTCCCTTAAGGGAGGTGAAAGGAGGTAAAGGTAGTCTTCAACCCCATATAGAGTAATATCTCCATCCCCTTTTGACTGTATAGGGAGAAGCGAGACGTCTATTGATTAAAAAACTTTATAATACGATCTCATCCCTTATTTGCTTTCTGTTTTGATTTTTATTGTTCCACGGGACATGGGGTGGCTCGTTCGCGGCCGAGTCGACGGGGTTCATCCGATATTTAATTTCGAAGGAATTCTCGTGACGGAGTTCGCCAACTAAGTTCCCGGTGAAACACCCGTGCGACACGAACAGGTGGAGTATCGGCGTATCAAGGGGCAATTACTTTTTAGCCCGGGGGTTGGTTTCCTACTGGTTGAAAAAAAGTGCTGAGTGTAGGAGAGAGAGGGATAAAAATACGAAAAAAAAAAGAAAATTGAAAATTATGAGGAAAGGAGCAATCCTTACTTCCATCTCAGGTTGGTATACATATATACAGAGTCCTGAACGAGGATTCTGGTAAAGGAGCTCGTTATCGAGAAAATTGAGCATCTTCAACAGAAAACCTTAGCAGCATCCATCTTGGTTTCACTGATGGTATAACCACCATACTTGTATTTTTCTCATCTTCGACATTCTCCACTTCATATCTTCACCCTCGGTCTACCTACGTCGGTTACCCAGTATCCCAACTCCTGGAGTGCTTCGAGGTATTTTTTTACTTGCATCCTTTTCTAGTAATTACCAAATGCCAAGGGCACTCCTGAGTCACCGATCACCTCCTACAGAAATAGTGATCGATTCCTCAACCTAAGCTAACTCAATCGGGAATCGACGGCGTGGCGATATTGCTATTTAATCTTGTTAGGATTTTAATTTATCACGATGGCACCCGTGATGGTCCGCCATTGAATTCCGACGGAGGTATCCTACTGAAGATGAATAGTGTTCTGGTACGTAAAGTCGATCTCATCCTGGATAGCAGGGAGTGCGGTATGCTGATGATGCTGTACTCATGAAATATATCGATACTGACATTATCCTGCTAAAAAAGAAAGGGAAGAGAATATTGAGGAATCGTGAAGGACGATGTACAAGGAATTAAACAAGAAGAAATAATCATACAGAAAGGCAGGCACGGATGGAATGAGAATGTGGCGCTAGTGTCGAGATCCGTTCGTTGGGGTTTTCGACGTGGACAAATAAAGTTTGTACGGTTAAAAGTTCTCCCCTCATTAAGAGGAAGTCCCCAGGGCCATGGCAAGAGAGTACTAAGTGCCACGTCTCACTGCTAGGAACACATTTATTAACAGGAGTCGACCTCATCCTCTATAGCGGGGACTCCAACCCTCATTCACTTTGGTAGCTGTCTGCTGTCCTGTCCTACTGGCTATACGCGGAGGAGGTGCAAGGGTGGTAAAATGGTGGCAAGAGGGTGGCTGCCTCGGGAGAAAGAAAAAAGACGTCACATTGTCGACGCCTTATTAATCCGGAGGCAGAGGGGCTTTGAAGAAATTAAAAGAACAGAGAGTATAATGTGAATACATCCATTCTACCGAAGTACCCAAGCTTCTAGCTGGCAGCCACCGCCATCTGAAAGAACCATTACCATTCTCCGCCTTCGTGCCGGCTAAGTACTAGACTGATAGACATCTTGAGCCTTGTCACGCTTTTTAAAATCCAATGTATATTGTACAGCCGGAGCTTCTCCGGGAGTCTTTCATTTTTAATGCTGCCTGTAGATTATATAATACCTTACGATTTTACACAATTTTCTTACTCCATTCATTTTATTTTAATTCTCTCCTTTTCTTAGGTATCGAACATCTTTTGACTAAACAAATATTTAGGTTTAATAGATCAGTAGTTCGTTGCTAGTCAATATTTATTGTATTAATTAGCCAAAGAATTTGGAAAATTGAAATTAATATATTCGTAGTACGTCTCTGCTGCGTGTTGTGTTAATAATAATTAACATTTCATTTTTTTTTCCTTTCAATAAATTTGTTTCGCTGGAAAGTTGTTTTGGAGTAGGAAACGATCTGGCCGGCCGGAGTCGTCTCATTTCGGGTACTTTCGGCTCAGCTGTTCTTAGTGGTTGGTGGCTTCGTTGCGCGACCTGTCTGCGGTGTTTTCTGTTTTATTAAAATTAAGGTAAAATGACTTCAGGTGTCATGAGTTGTTATATATACAGCGAGGATGACAGTTTACCGGCTATATATTTACCTGACAAAACAGAAATATATGTTGGACGATCTGACAGTACTGGTATAAGAGATAGCATGTGCTCACGAAATCAAGGTTAGTAACTACGTTCACTGCAATCACGTCAGTTGGACTATGTTGGGAATCTATTCGGAATAATTTTTTTATAATACTGCTCGTAATTTTGTGTTCATCATTCGGTCTCTCCGAAATACAGCATCTCTTATGGAAATTAGTTTATATAACTTTTCTGCTAACAGTTCAACGTACGTAAGAACATGACTCATGGTAGATACAAAATAAACATCCTAGATATGAATAATGAAGCTGGCTATATAGTGGGGATTTCATTAGGTTTCTAGTTTTCATATTTTTTGTAGTCTACTAGGAAACATTGGCAGACAAGTTCTTTTCTACGTCTTTCATTTTGACATTATCTTATCAGTTCGGCTCTATGCAAGCTATGAGGACCAGAGAGTTTTCGTGCAGCAGGTTGGAACCCGGTCATCTGGTTTGAACAAGTTTAAAACACGTAGAGGTGTAAAATTGGTTTCAAGACATGGAGACAGTTTGCATATTCTTTATGGCAAGTACAAGTACCGAATAGAATTCAATCCACCACCAAGTAAAGAAGAGCTAGAGAAAAATTCAAAAAGGACCATCGCTGAACTGGATAAAGAAGACAAGGAGTTATATGAAACTGGTGAAAAATTGAGTAAAAGATTCAGGATGGGTGAGAACAGTGAATTAACAAGTATGAAACTGTCGAAGGAAAGTGTTGAAGAGAAGCAGGATATAAATGACACAGTGGATAGTGAAGTCGTGAATGAAATATTGTCTAAAGTAGATAGTGAACAGGATATACAGGAAGCCTCACATTCTAGTTGTAGTAACATGATTGGGGTAACAGGAGGCTCAGGAGAATCTGTTCCTGAGGCATGTGTAACAGGATTCTGGGAGGATATAGATAATAAGGCACTGCTGATCTATACAAGCAAAGGAGTACAATCTCGACCTAAAGTAATTATTTAAGCATTTTTTGCAATTAAGATAGTCTTTCTTCAGTAATGCAGAGCAAAATTATTGTTATTTGAAGATAGCAGCTTATGATATGGATGGGACTTTAATAACGACTCGCTCAGGCTTAGTATTGCCAAAGGACTGCAACGATTGGCAAATATTATATCCAGTAGTACCAGCTAAATTAAAGAAATTATATGCAGATAATTACAAAATAGTAATATTTACAAACCAAGGGCAATTGGGTGCAGGAAAACTAAATCCTAGCGATTTTAAAATGAAAATTGAAAAAGTCGTTAAAAGATTAGGTGTGCCTATTCAGGTGTTTGTGGCAACAGGTAAAAACTACTACAGAAAACCAGTAACAGGAATGTGGCACACACTGGTCAAGCATGTATGTACATAAAAAAATTCTAAAATTTTGAAAAAAAAAATTTAATCTCTGATCTCTCTGAATTTGTATCTCAGAAAAATGACAGCATATCCGTAAATAAGAGTCAGTCATTTTATGTGGGAGATGCGGCAGGTAGAAAGAAGGATTGGGCTCCAAAAAAAAGAAAAGATCATTCCTCTGCAGATAGATTGCTAGCCCTAAACTTGGGCCTTACATTCCATACTCCTGAAGAACACTTTCTAGGACAAAAACCAGCACCTTATGAGCTACCAGTCTTTAATCCAAAGTCTTTAAAAAAAGATGTCAACATATGCGATCCACCAGATGCCAAGATTACTGCCAAAGAACAGGAGGTACCATAAACAGTTTAAATTTCTCTTGAAAAGAAGTAAAACTACAAAAAATTACAACATTTATGATACGTGCAGGTTATCATTATGGTCGGCGGTCCTGGTTCCGGAAAATCGCACATAGCAAAAACCTACCTGGCTGGCTACCAGCATATAAACCGTGACACTTTGCGTAGTTGGCAAAAGTGTGTAACCCATATGGACGAAGCATTATCCAAGGGTAAGAGTGTCGTAGTGGACAATACAAATCCTGATCCAGTCTCTAGAGAAAAATACATTAAGGTAGCACAGATGCACAAAGTACCAACAAGATGTTTTGTAATGGCTACAGGCCTGGAACACTCCAAGCATAATAATAAGGTACTATCAACATGGCATTACTTATAATTCTAATAAATTCACGTTCACTATTAATGATTTGACAGTTTCGTGAACTCACGGATTCCAAACATCAGACCATTACCGACATCATTATAAATTCCTACATGTAAGTAGTAAAAACTTTGTTCACATTTTTATGCTTTTTTTTTTGCTTACGACTAACATCAAAATCGGGCAAGGCGAATACTAATACGGATTAAATAATATTTAATCGTCTATGACCGTCAAACGGTGAATATTTTATCAGCCATACAAAGTCCCAGCTGCTTTGGCCTTGCCTGAGATTCATCAGGTTACTTCTACTCCTGATTCTACGTCTCTACGATCATCTCTTCACGAATCTACAACCTTACAGGAAGAATTACAAGCCACCCAGTCTGGACGAAGGATTTTCTGAGATCGTGAAAATAAACTTTGTACCGCAATTCCGCACGGATAGGGATCGACAACTTTATGAGATGTACCTGCTTGAAAAATAGAAAATAATGAAAATGAAATCTAGTCATCGCAGTTTACCGTGAAGACGATCCCATAAAAATTATCTACATGAACATTCCCTGAACGTAGATTAGCGTTACAATACTTATAACAATCATGTTTTAGCTACAATTATGACTATGCATGTGACAGGTAAAATTTGTGTGCGCTTCTGATATGCACATAACTATTATATATAACTGAAATAATATGTATTGCTGGAATTATTAACAAACTGTAAGTAATTGACACACTATCCTCCATTTATCCTGTTATTCTAATTGTCAACTTTCTCAATACTAATTTATACTACGACAATTCGATGCTCACCAGTCCTGACGTACTATCTCAGTCTTCCTCCATTCTTGGCAGTAATCAGCTCGTGGTAATGGAAAGCGAGCTAATACGAGAAACAAAGCTAAGTTTGTCTTGTTTCCTGGACGTAGCAGAGAGTGAGGGCGGGACAGTGAGATAGAGCTAGAAGATGGAAAAGAAGAGGAAAGAAAAAGCGGGGACAGAGGGAAAAACGGCTGGGAAAAGTACGTCGTGGGTATAAGGAATTACCGTGAGCCGGGTAATTATTCCGCGTGCCCCTGGGTATAGGGAAATAGACAGGAGCCCGATCCGGCTCCCTCATCCTACTGGCGCAGGACTCGACCCCAGCATTGCTGCCTCCGCGTATAACGACGCAGCAAAGAATTATAAAATGGAAACTGGGGCTTGATATTAATGCATTGGGCTTTAGAAGAAATACTCCTGCGTCCGCCTATCTTCTTAGACTAAAACGATCGATGTTTATTTGAGGATTCTTTTACGATTAAAATTTTCTTTGTCTCTCTCAATCACGAGTAATTATCAGTTAAGTCAAATTTTCGATTTCTAATATCCCTAAAATGTTGGTTCATGAATTTAACGAATTTTTTATCATACGAAATTATGTATACGAAATATTTTGCTGATTCGAACGAAAGCTGTCGACTGTTTTCTCATAAAGAACTAGAAGCGGCGAAAACGTCATTGTCACATAATGCATTCACATGTATACGTAAACGACGTTGAAAATTCTGCGAATCGTTTCTTCTCTCGTACATGGAATAAGATGCGACGAGAAATATACTTGCATACAAAACAAAATGGTTTACGTTTCTCACGCGTGTGTATGTCAAACTAAAAGGACAGCTGATGCTTATGAATCCTTATAACAATAACGTTCTAGACGCTGGTACAACCTGTCAGAAATAATACCTATGATAGGCCTGGACACAGTAACAGCGGCAATAGTGCAGACACGTCCCAAGAAGAAGACAGAGTAATTCGTAGTTACCAAATGTACCTAGCATATGGTATACGGGGTGTCTTTTTAATTGAAGAATATTCTCAAGGGTTGAAACTGTTTCGTTTCTCTAAGCGTCCGGCTTAACGTTCGAGTCTCTGGACAAAAGGGTTTCTCCCGCGTCTCGCATTGTGTTTACCGACTATTTCTCGCGAGCAATTTCGCCCGAGGAATGACTATGAGACTGGCATAATGGGCCAGTCCTTCCGAAACACGTGGATTAGAAGAGACCATACGGAGACGTGGAGTGGTAGGATGGCTGCTGGTATATACATATATAAAGGGTGAGCATAATGTACGCAAGGATGGCAAATGAGGACGTTAGCCAAATAATGCAAAGCAAACCCTGCTCTGAGATATAGTCCGGCATTTGTCCATATTAAGGCGGCGTCAAGCTCATACTCGCGAGTTTCACGATGAGAAGGACGAGGACAGGCCTTAAGGATAGTCTACGTGGGGTAGGTAGGTAGTTAGGTGTATGCCTACTCTCTCTCTCTCTCTCTCTCTCTCTCTCTCTCTCTCTCTCTATTCTCTGTCTCTATCTTGTCAGAATGGAAGGTGGGACATGCTGAAATTATATAGCAAGGCATCACCCGTTATTAGTCAGAGTTGGGACGCATGCCGGCGATAACTATGTGTATCTTGAGCACCCGTTATATCGCCATTCGTCACGCTTCTCCAGCGTACACGCAATTTTACCTTGTAATCTCTCTGCTTCATTCGCGTCCTTTCTTCTCTCACGCCCCTTATAACACCTCGTGACATACTGGAATGCGTCTATTCGCCTATTTTCAAAGTAGCCAACGACAAAACCTGACACCCTTTGTATAATAATCATGCGCCATCGCATACGCGAAGCCCACGTGGTCCCAAGCCTCCGTTCCTATTGGCGAATTCATTCGTGCGGCTGCTTAACGTGGTTTTGCGATAAATCAAAAGGTAATCACGTAAATGGTAATCCTGATCCACGGACAGGAGGAGGCGTTACCGATCCTGGTGACCGATAAAAATGTACAAGTCATAGCCCATTTTAATTTGTCACGTATCATAAAATACGCGCGCTTTTTACTTATTATTATGTATACGCACCAGTTTTCAGGTGACGATGCGTGTTTGCAGAAAAGAAAAAAAAAATGTAAATATACATAAGCACGCACGTGTACAAGATACGCATAAAATAGTTGGAAATCCAGTTACGAATACGTACTGATAAAATCAAAATGGATCCATTTCCTTTATTGTTTGATTGTATCAGTTAAAAAAAAAATGATTACCGCGCGAAAAATTCTAATCCTCAAAATACATTAACCGTCGCCTCAAAGTGTCTTTAATTGCAGGCAATTGTCTTTAATTGTCTTTAATTATTATTGCAGGTAAGTAATGCAAAATCAAAAATACCAAATGAAACCATTCAATAAAATGAATTACCGATGTCTATCTAATTGAGCTACCAAGTCAGCTTAATCTTTGATCTGAACTCGAATAAACCGTTCATCCCCTAGGTAAATCCACGATTTCGCTATTGGATAACAGACGATCCTAATAAAGGGGTGGTTTGCGTGTGACACCCCTAGGAGTGATGCACGTTCTTGTCGTCGCTTGACAATTGCCAAGATCGTGTGTCGCCTTCTCACCCCTACCAAAAAAAAAAAAAATAGATATCGTCTCTGCGCCTTATGGGGATTCTGCACGATATCCGGCCATCCGCCTCTTTTGTTCTCTATACAAATCGGTCACAGGTTAGATATGCTTTAGCACCCCCTGGGTATATATATGTACCGGCTACCTATTCGTTACGGCGTATCTTCTAACGGGTAAGTATTGGAGAGAGGAGCAAAAAAAAGTTTTTTTTTATAAAAATAATCAAAATGATAATTTGAAAAAAAAAATCAAGTTCCACCTGACTGACGTTTTATTTGATGTCTCGAGACATTACGTAAAAGGACTTCTCTATCATTCGTTCCTGTTATATTCATTTTTGCCATTTACTTCCTTTATGAGTCCCCTTCACGAGTGTCTCAGGAGTTTCGTGTAAAACGTCACATCCTCTTCCGTACGAGTCTCATAACGCGACTGTCTTCTCAACTTTAAAGGCGAATGTGTGAGTTTGAAACTAATAAGCCGAGCACGGGATATAACACGGAGGTACCAGTATATAAGGGTGAGTTCATAGGGGTTGGAACTGGGGGTGGATGAAATGGGGGTTGATACTTGGGATTCTCACGTGGTAACGAACAGGACACTCGATTACGACAGGGATGATCTATGTGCATCTAAGTCGAGAGAAAGTTCGCAGGCAACAAGTAGTTCGTTGGGTATTTGAGATTATTATTTAAAAAATCATTCTTATTATTGTATTTATCAATAGCATTGTTTGCCATTGTATAATTCCTTATCTCCATAGTGTGACTTTCGATTGAGTGAGCCACGGTATTAAGGCGAGCATTAAAGCAGCGAGTGGATTACAGGGAAGCATTGCTTCAGAAGATATGCCGCGAATAATCTCATTAATAGAATAGATTTTCAAAGGTATTGTCTTGCGCAAGGATAAGCCTCATACAAAGACGAACCATAGATCTGAATTAACTCTTCGACTTACTCGATCTCTCATTCTTTAAGCGTGACGCGGAGTCTCGTGGAAATCAAACGTCAGCCCTGCAATTCTAACAGTCGTCGAGATGAGGTCACTCAGGGTATCTCACGGAAATACACTGGACGACCCGTTCGCGTCGTCCGACGGGTGAAATCGTCGAATTTACTTAGGCCTACAAGGCCAGAAAATGGCAAGGTTACCCATGGAATGAGCGTCGGGACGCTCGTACTTCTCCGTTAATGGTAGTATAGCCCCTAAAAATCGGTAACGAGATCCCTTGATGACTTCAAATAACGACAAGGCTCATACCAGCCCGTTATGATTTTCATCCCCTACATAACGTACGTGTATATATATATATATATATATATATATATATATAAACTTTGACCTTAAGAGGGTTTCTACATTTGTCCAATGAAATTTTGTGCTTTGGGACGATTAATTTACTTGTGTTTTCTGGACGGTAACATGGAAATCTTTACGTTGTATCTCCAGAGAATTTCTTTTCATCATAGGGAATGAAGATGATGGAGAGGAAGAAAAGATGAAAAAAAAAAAATAAAAATAAAAATTAAGAACCAACCATTCTTCGAACGTTGGACGCAGCTCTAATCTTTATTGTAACAAAAGCCGTTAAGGCAGGGTGCGAGCCTGATGGCGCAGATGCTTCTCATTACGCCATCAAGAAGTTCGACTCTTAACTCGTTTCACGGCAGGAAATAAAGGATGCTGCGCGCTTAAGATTTTTACACCGAGATCATTTTACCGCGCTTTACGTTCCACTTAAGGACCCAAACAACCACGTGCATTGTGATGGATTTACCTTAAGAGGCGTAACGAAGTCCCGCTGTACAAATTTATAGGATTTAATAATAACAATAGTGCATACAATATAAATTTATAGGCTGATCGATGCGAATAAAAGATAAAATGGTCCAGCGCAACCAAATGGTTCCTTCCTATGAAACTACCGGATAGTTTGATAGTCCAACAAAGGCTGTGCATCAAACGCTAGCAATTAACGTCGACGCCAGTGTTGCGTCTGAACATGCATATAGGATTCACAGGGTGTCGTATACGATTTTTACCTAAATAATGCAAAAATTAATTTCGTACAGTTTTTGTAAAAAAAAAAGTACAGTCTTACGCACAATTTTTAATCGTACAACGACGGATTTTCAATAACCCGTTGAAATTGATTCTGTAAATGTCTAATGTAAAATCATAGAGTATGTATAAATATACGAAACACCCGGTATGCAATTTTCGACGGTGGTTTGTACCTACGAGGTGGGGGTGTAA